ATAATCATGGGATGGGTCAAACAAGAGAAGGGGATGCACTTTTTAATTGTGGCAGTTGCCACTAGGCCAGGAGGTCAGGTGCGTGTATGAAACTTTTCTTTGTAACTCCTGCTAACGCAGTTATAATAAATATCGGACGGTCAATACATAACCACTTTTCTGTTAAAAAAACGTGAATAATGGTGAACTTTTTTTCTTGTTATTACCTCACCTCACTGCCTGTGAGGGCTTCATTTCTCCATATCTGAGCTGCGAAAGCAGAGAAGAGGAGGAGGAAATGGGTACAGAATGCTTAACGTTCTTCTTCGCTCTGCTCCTAATTTCCGGCGCACACTCCTTCTATCTCCCCGGCGTTGCACCGCGAGATATCCAAAAGGTAATCTCTCAGTCTTTGTCACTCTCAGTGTTTCTCTACATGTTTTCTCTCCTTGATATTGCTCGTTATCTGGGTTCATAGTCATTTTTGTCTTGTATTTTCTGCTTTGTTGCTTCATTGGTTGCTTTTGATTGAGAGAAGAAGTCGGATCTAGGGTTTTTCGAGTTCGATCTTTACTGTTTGGTCTTTTTTTCTAGATCCGTGCTTGGGTTTTCTTGCTCTCTGGGGTTATAGGTTTCGTTTTGGAGCTGGACTCTTTTTTTTTTTTTTTTGCCATTTTTTGTCGGTCTTGTAGTTGATGCTGTGCATGTGAGTGGGGCACTGAGGTGAATCATTTTGTTAATTTGACGCAATTTGAATTGGGAACATCTTTTAAAGATGGTAGTAGTATGAAGAAATGAAATTGGTTTCAATTTTACTTAGTTTTCTGCTCATTTGCATTTCACTTAACTAGTGGACGTGCATGGAGTGAAAAATAAAATTTTCTTAAGTTTGATTTCTTTCTTCCTTGTTTGTAAACTTGGAGTCAGGGTTTTTTTTTTTTTTTTTTTTTTTGATGAAAATATTTGCCCTCTGGGTTCAGTTTCTTACTTTCTTTTGTTTCTTATAATCTTGTTTGGTCCTTTTCATGATTTCAAACAGGGTGAACAACTTCCTGTCAAAGTGAACAAATTGTCATCTACCAAGACACAGCTCCCATATGATTATTACTACTTGAATTACTGTATACCACCCAAGATTCTGAACAGTGCAGAAAATTTGGGGGAGGTACTCCGGGGTGACCGCATAGAGAATTCTGTGTATACTGTGAGCTTTTGTCACCCTGTCTTGGTGTTCTTTATTAGTAGTTGACAAAAAGCTGAAAATGGTTCAAAAAAAAAAAAAGTACCTGCTTTACATTGTTGAACTAAACTACTAAAGTTTTGAAATATGTCCCAGTTTGAAATGAGAGAGGATCAGTCTTGCAAAGTAGCCTGCAAAATAACACTTGAGGCTGAATCAGCAAAGAATTTTAAGGAAAAAATCGATGATGAATATCGAGTCAACATGTAAGTAATGAATAGAATTTCCTAGGATTTGTATTTCCCCTATGGTTTTCGCTGGAGATTTTTTGATGTGATTTTACTTGCATTATTTTAATCTTTTTATGTTTATATTATGCTAATTTTTCTGGCACATTATACTAAACTATCTAGAATTAATGTGCAGGATTCTTGATAACCTTCCGGTTGCTGTTCTAAGGCAAAGGAGAGATGGAAGTCAGTCAACAACTTATGAACATGGTTTCCGTGTTGGGTTCAAAGGAAATTATGCTGGGGTATGCTTTCAGGTGTTAGTGTCACTATAGAGATCTGAGCTAGCTGTCTTCTTAACCATTTATTTGGCTTTACAGAGCAAGGAGGAGAAGTACTTTATCAACAATCACCTGAGCTTTAGAGTTATGTTTCACAGAGATCTTGAGACTGAGTCTGCTCGTATTGTGGGGTTTGAAGTTTCTCCAAACAGGTGTTCTTCCGATTTCTTTTCCTGACTGTCTTCTTTGGTGGAAATTTTGAGCTGTGCTCTTACATTTTACAGTAGTTTGCAACAAAATAATCCTTTTAGAAATAGGGGTAATGGGGGCAGGTGGTGGTTGTGATTCTTGAGGGTGTTTTTTTTCTAAGTCAAGATTGCTTTCTTCCTACTGCATGAAGAGATATATATATATATATATATGCAATTATTCTACTTCAACATGTGGGCCAAGAAATTATATGAACAGATTTTGAGAGTTCTTAACAATTGAATGGATCACTATCTCATATTGCTGGAAGTTCTATACTTGAAATATCATGTCTAAATTAGCTTTTTGAAAAATCCTGCTTAAAAGAAGTAACAGTACTGGCATACAAATTACAATCCTTTATGTAATTTTTATATTTTGATCCAGTATGAGCGTCCATTACTCCATGTTCTATGGGATCCTGCATTTAACAAACTAGTACTTTTCAGGGGAAAAAAATACACTCTGTATTGGCCGTTTTATCTTTGTCTTGTCTTTTTCTTTTGCAAACAGCATTAATCATGAATTCAAGGAGTGGAATGAAAAGAATCCTCAGGTAACAACTTGCAACAAGGATACCAAAAATCTTGTTCCAGGTAGCACCGTTCCACAAGAAGTTGAGACAGGCAAGGTTGTTGTGTTCACATATGATGTTACCTTCAAGGTGTACCCTCTTCTCCTTGCCTATTTCTTCTCAACATGTTTTCTACTGCTTATTTCTTACTTGCCTGAGGTCTTCTACAGGAGAGTGACATAAAATGGGCATCTCGGTGGGACACATACCTCCTCATGAATGATGATCAGATCCATTGGTTCTCCATCATAAACTCGCTAATGATTGTCCTCTTCCTTTCTGGCATGGTGGCCATGATTATGATGAGAACATTGTACAAAGATATTGCAAACTATAATCAGTTGGAAACACAAGATGAGTCTCAGGAAGAAACAGGATGGAAACTTGTCCATGGAGATGCATTCAGGGTGCCAGTTAATTACGGTTTACTTTGTGTTTATATTGGTACTGGCATCCAGATCTTTGGAATGACACTTGTGACGATGATATTTGCTTTGTTGGGCTTCTTATCTCCTTCAAACCGAGGGGGGCTTATGACTGCTATGGTGCTCTTGTGGGTTTTTATGGGGTTATTTGCTGGTTACTCTTCAGCTCGTCTATACAAAATGTTCAGGGGCACAGAATGGAAGAGGAATACTTTAAAAACTGCTTTCATGTTTCCTGGTATCCTCTTTGCCGTATTTTTTGTGCTGAATGCACTGATATGGGAAGAACAATCATCTGGAGCTGTGCCCTTCGGGACAATGTTTGCTCTTGTTTGCTTATGGTTTGGCATATCAGTTCCCTTGGTCTTTGTTGGTAGTTACTTGGGTTTCAAAAAGCCAGCCATTGAAGACCCAGTGAAGACAAACAAAATTCCAAGGCAAATACCTGAGCAAGCATGGTACATGAAGCCAGTGTTCTCAATACTCATTGGAGGCATTCTTCCATTTGGGGCAGTTTTCATTGAGCTCTTCTTTATCCTGACTTCAATATGGCTGAACCAGTTCTACTACATCTTCGGCTTCCTTTTCATAGTGTTTGTAATTCTAATGATCACTTGTGCTGAGATAACAATTGTGCTCTGCTACTTCCAGTTATGCAGCGAAGACTACCACTGGTGGTGGAGATCTTACTTGACTGCAGGTTCTTCTGCTCTGTACCTTTTCCTCTACTCAGTTTTCTATTTCTTCACCAAGTTGGAGATCACAAAGCTAGTGTCAGGCATCCTTTACTTTGGGTACATGATAATTGTTTCCTATGCCTTCTTTGTCTTGACTGGGACAATTGGCTTTTATGCTTGCTTCTGGTTCGTTAGGAAGATATACTCCTCTGTGAAAATCGACTGACATGATAAATCCAGGATGAGGGTGAGGGAGGGCTTTGTGAACTACAGGCTTGAATGGAGGAAAAGCATATTAGATTAACTTCTTCGTCTCCATCTCCCTCTGTGAGATAAGAATATGAAACATTTATTCCTATTTTCTTATTTTTCTTTTTATTTAGTAGGATAGGTTTGGCTTCTTATTTTGTATACACTGTTACAAATTTACTGTACTTGTCCTAGTTTCCTAGAAGTTTAAGCTGCAAGCTCCATGTTTGGATATTTCTCAATGAAACAGTGTAAATTCTTGAATGCTTCTTCATTTGCTTAATTTATCCCGAATTGTTTTTCTTGATTCAGAATCGTTAGATATTGAGGGACACGAAATACATACAATACAATGTTTTATGTTCTAGGTTGTTAAATAATTGGAGAACCCACAATCACCATTTTAGCTTAAAACTGACTGTTTTCCTCCCCCCAAGATTTGTTATTGTGTCTCTCAAAGAACACCTCCCAAGAGGAATTCCATCTCCATCCTCGTCTTCATCACACCTCATGATTGTAACATCCTTCATGGAATGCTGCCAATGTTTCATCTCACCGTCTCTGTAGTAGTTCCGATCCATCAACGTCTGACCAAGAAACTGTTATACGAAATCACAGAGAGAAAAATTAATCTTGTGCTGGTGAATTCAAATCTCGACCAAAAAATTAATGTTGCAGAAAACGAAGAGACAACCTCCAGAAAACATAATTCGAAGCGGTTGTTAACAGCAACTGAGAGGATTTGAGGACGACAACTCCAAAGCAAACCATCCATGATAGCTGCAAAATCCAATTTCCCTGAATGTATATGCAGAACCAGGCTCTCAAGAGCATAGGGCTGAAGAAGGGAAGATCTGCTTGCTTCCTCCGAATCAAACTTATTCTTCGTCATTAACAGGAAACAAACTAAAAGATTCAGAACTTTTTATGTGAATCAGGGACAAAAAAAAAAATTTTGCATCAGTGAGAATATCAAAATACCTTCTCTGTAAAGAGAAACAGGTCCAGAATTTTGGTTTGATTTTGCATATGGAGGAACTCCTTCAATTGTACGAACCATGGAGTAAGGAGACGATCACGGCTTCTTAGATTGAGCTGGAGTTCGAGCTTACAACGAGGATTCAACTTCAACCTCAAGAATGAAGGTTTGGCACCACAGACGTAGAACATTGAACTCAATTTCGGAGCAAAAATCTCCGATTTACCTCCGATCTGCTCACATTCATCTAACATCAGTGACTCGAGCCTGTGACTGGAAATCTTAATCCCGTCCACAAATATGCAATTGAAGAAACTCAAGTACTTGAGGTAAGGGAAATTCCGATCCTCAAACACGCAGTTTAGGCTGACTCTACCGTCAACACACACTCTTTCTAAACTTCGGCATCCGGAACAATCTATCCAACTCAGATCACTCCAGTACAAGATCTTCACCGTAAGATTACTGAGTTTAACTAGGCCGGATATCTCCAGCCGTTTGAATCCCTTGCAATTGATAAGATGCAAGGTTTCCATATTCCGGCCGCTACTAATAAGTTGCTCGATTGTTGAGTCGTCGAGATATACATTCTCCAGGAACAATGAGTGAAGACGATCGAAATTAATGGCATTCTTTGCGATCGGAGGATTGAAACCACAGCCGAATAAATCCAGAACAGTCAGAGATTTCGCCGAGAAGATTGTTTGTGGCAGACTAAAACAATGCAGTGTGCAATTTCCGTTGTTTATTTTGAGATGAAACTCTTTGACGTTGTTTTCTGCTGCTAATCCTATCCATTCTTCAACCAGAGAAGCGAATTTGGGTTCGAGAATTGTGATGGAGAGATCGAATGTCTGAATTCCGAACTTGGATTCACAGAATTTGTGTAGTCTGTGATCGACAACGTCGGTAAACTTGTTTAGTATAGTTGTCCACAATGCGGTACATTGTGGTGTGGCATTGGTGAGATTGATGTCATCCAGCATCTCTGAAGCAAAGGAGCTTTCATTGAATTCAAAAACAGGATAGGAGTTCCATATGTGTTTCCATCGCCTGGACAAGACGCAGGTTCGAGCAGCAGTTTTCATGGGTACAAAAGAAAGAATTTGATGGAGGATTTCGTCTGGAAAACCCGAAATCCGATCTCCAGAACTTGGCGTCTTCACCATGGTTAGGGTCTGACTTGAAGCACTTTGTGATGTATCCTAAAAAAGAAAAGGAATCCCAATTATATATACTTCTAGTCTCTGAGTCCGAAGCGACCAGATAAGAAAGTAGCCTAAATGCCTAATAGTTTTTTAACTCTTCCACAAAATTAATTTAGACCTTTACACTTTTGTAATTTAGACTATATTAAATTATAAAATATAAATCATTAGATAAAAAATACTTTTTTAATATTAAAAAAAAAAAATTTTGACCAGAGAAACATCAGTTAGATGTTAGTATCTGTTTATAGATCAGCATTGATGTCGAAACCGAGTAAACTCCACATGTTACTCTTTGAAGTAACGTGACCCATCCACTGAATTACATGAAAGAATTCATATTAAAAATCCCTTTTAATCTAACGGTAGTGCCAAGCTTCTTTTTTTTTTTTATTTAATAAAATAAATTTATTATAAAGTATCTCTTGAATAAAATCTTAGAAAATAAATTTATTACACTCTTGGTTAAGAGGGAGAAATAGGCATCCCTTTGTTTCCGCAGACAATTCCATATGGTATTCCTGCTAAAATACAAAACAAAAGAAAAGTTCAAAGTAACAAAGAATCCAAAAAATATAAAACCATTATTTGACTTCTCATTTTCATAATTTAGGTTTCATACATAACACCACCCCGTGAAATCATAGGGTTGTCAACAGAAGCTCTTTTCTGAAGTACATAGCCTTAAGACCCAACAATTTACACCCAAGTACTGCACTAATGGGAAGATTTGGATGCAAATCATCTCACAATTTTCCAAAGGCGGTGTCAGTTGTTAGCACAAGGACCAAAATTCAGCAGAAAACATAAGTGAATTACATCAAGAGCTTCATCATTTGTAGCACTGACTAGCTTCCACAGGAGAACCTAAAAAAAACTTGAAGAACAAGTTATGGCCATAATGTCGTCGGGTAAAAGACTCCATGAAACCAGGCAGCCTGACCTTATTACGGTGCATGATTTGGGGATTAGAATACATGCTAAACTAAGTGGTTCCCGGTGTAAGTTAGCCAAACAAATGAAATCATCAGCTTGAGCTCAATCTTGGTTTCCTATTTTTCTGCCTGCATAAAAATAAAAAATAAAAAAATGGTTAGTTGTGTGTGGGCTGGATGATGAAATTGGCAATGAGGATTTGGGATGAGCAACCAACCAAAATGAATCTTTTTTCTCCTGTGCTAATAACTCTTCAAAAGAAATGTCAGAACATTCAGTTTCTGTGTCTTGCATCAGTTCACCAGCCTTGGCCTTCGACTCCATGCTGGCACCAATTTCAAGCATCTGGTCAGAAACAGAAGAGAGAAAATTAAAGAGAGGCCAGAGTCATGAAATTATCTGTGCCGGTATGGAAGAGGAAAAAGATATGATTCATAAGTAATAATCATTTCTTAAAATATTTTATGAAGACAAAAGGGCAAAGGAATCAGACTTTCCCTCTCTCTAGAACACAAAATCACATTAGGTGTGCCTCAACTACTGGTCTAGGACACAGCTGACTGTAAATGTCATGAAAGTGACGAACAAGGCATCAAGCCAAGATACAAAGACCACCACCACCACCATGTCTTACAAGCAACAACAGGCTACCACTGGCACCTTCATGGCCCATGAAAATCCAAGTCGAAAGGGGAAGTGGAAGGGTTTCTGATCACACAGATGCAAGATATAAAAGGACATATAACAAAAATTTTGATCCTCTTTTTCATTCTTACAAATATTTGGTCACGAGGACGCACTGAAAATTGCTAACTTGATAGGAGTGAAGCATGCCATGTCATGCAAAAAAGTATCACCAAAGAAAGAACCCTAGTCAAGACAGAATTGCATAAATTTTTACATAATAGCAGTGTTCCACTTGCATAAATGTAGGTCAAACAAACCAAGGAATCATGTGAAATGAGATCAGCCAAAAACTATTACAGTGACTCTAGAAAGGGTTGAAAGGCCAAGCTCTATCCATTATTACTAGTTTGATAAATCAAGGTAGCTTTGCTTTGTTAAAAGCTAGATTTGGCAATAGTCAATAGACCTATGGAATTTACATCAAAACCACTTCTAATACAAGTTCATGAACTGTACCTTCTTGTATGCAGGAGAAAGTTTGAGTTCCTGTTGCAGCCAGTTATAGACAAATGCATCCTCTTCCAATCTCTTCTGTTCCGCCTCTAGTTTATATATCTAAAGACATCAATATGTCACCATTAGAGGGGATCAACAAGTAGAATACTTCTAGTTGGTACATGTCAGAAACTGAAGTCACACTTTATTTAATTTTTTTTTCCTAACCTGCTGACGATGGCGGTCAAATGAAGATCTATCTGCTTTAAATAGTAAAGCCTTTGTTATTGTGAACTTACGTTTTATGACCTCAGATCTGCATTTAAAAAAGAAAAGGGAAATTGATAACAGAAGATCATAGCCAGGGAGTTAATAGATGCAGAATTCACAAGTCACAAACTGATGATGGCAACAGGAAATGAAAATAGGAACAGAAATCAGCTTTAAGGACTAAAATGTGTTACAAAAATCATTACTCAATATCCTAAGATTACGTTCAGGAAATTCTCAAAAATATTATAACACCATTATAATTTGATTAGAAAGCAATAAAAAGATCCATTCATATATCTCCAATAAACAAGATGCAAGAACTTAAAACTTTGTTGGGGAACAGAAAAGCATCAGCAATTGGAACACCAGAAAACCAAAAAAACTTATAAACTTACTTGTGCTGCAGCTCATTTCTTGCCTCAATCAAGCAATTAGCAAATTCCCATACCTGCATTGATGTAACACAAAGAACAATAAAGTTGCAGACATTGCTGTATTGAAAGAAAAACCAAGTCAATCAACTATATAAGTTCAAAATATATCTTACAATGCCAAATAAATGTAAATCAATTAATCTCCTAGGCTATGATTGCTATTGCTTGCCTCTTTTAAGATTAATATCCTTGTCAGTCAAGTCATGTTATACATTATCTTACCTGTAAGTGAGAAACAAGAAAGCAAGACCTAACTCAGGTAAAGATTTATACTTTATGCCACCTCACTTTCAACTAAATAAATAAGAAATAAGAAGGGTGATATGGAGAAGATTTGCACACCAATACCATGAATGATAGAGAGGATGCCAGGGCATTAAAAATTAGCATTCTTGGTGAAATTCAGTGGCTCTTGAAAGTTCTTTTGCTGAAAGATGATTATATTCAGTTATTTGTATGTACCATGAACAATATGAATTTATGTTCATGTGTATACAATTTTCTGAAACATGGGGTTAGGATGGAAGCTGATGTCTTATTAGACATCAGTCTCGAAACAGTCTTAACTAAGAAACTACCATTGGCATTCAGACATTGAGTTTACTATGGTTTTAGAATCACTGCTATAACTAAATCTCCCAGTCATCATTAATCATCCAATGACTAATAAAGGAAATCATGAATGTACATGCCACTCATGCCAGTAATATGGCATGTGCTTGTTCCTTTTATTAGTCTTGCCTTGCTGTAGCACCACCATGAACAACACGTCATATTCCAAGTGTACAGGTTACAAACTGACAATCAACTTCCTTTGAGAAATGAGCACACAAAGTCTTTGTGAGTCATAACCTCATAACATCATTTTACACGGTCAGCATCCTATTTGTCAACTATCTGAAAACTTTTTCGAATAAAAATCTCAAATTCCTTATACTGTGGTCCTTGTCTAAATACCTTAGATGAACAATAACTATATGGTCTGAGGAACGAGGACCATCTCCACCATTTAATGAAAGGAACAAGCTTACAATAAACCCGTTCAAGTGCTGTCAAAACAAGACCTACCACCTTCCTTGGGTGAGTTTGTGTTATACATTCACATTACTTTCTGCCATTAGCTTCCTCTCTTATCTATCCTTTATGGCATCTCATTCTTGGGATGAAGCATATGAAAAGAAACTAAATACAGCATCATTACCGGAAAGAATTACAGGGGTTATTCTTACTCATTGTAAGAAAAAAAGGCAATAATCAATGACAGCAATACTGAATAATTAAGTTAGGGAAAAGATAAGAGTTTCTCACTGTTGCTTCAACTGATAAAAGCATCATCATATTACTCACCACATACTGTTAAAGAATATAAAGGTATGTTAACATAACAAGCAACAAGAAGAATTCCTTTAGTATCAAGTTAGCACATTCACCAGATTTTAAAATACAAGAGCCAAAAGAACTCATTTTGATGGCATGCCAATCATCAACTACTTAAAAACCTCCAATAACTCAAGAAGAGAAAAGCAAAAGAAACAAAATTTAAAGTAAGAGTGAGAAAAATAACCTGAGCTAATGTCAATCCCTTGTTTTCGTGACACTTCACGAGCTGATCATACTGCTGTTTGATCTTCCTCTGCGTAGCACTGCTCGTGGATGTGAAGGGGTACAGACAAACAAGGTCCGGCTTCACCCGAGAATCCGGACCCGGAATTGAATCCTCCCTCTCGACCTCTGAACACCTGTCTTCACTATTTTCTTCAACTTTTGAATCCAATCTCTTCTTCTTCGCCCTCTTCTTCTTCTTCTTCACCCTATGATCTCCACTCGAATCACATAGCTCCTCCTGACCCGGCCCGACAGGACCCGTTCCATCCTCGCGGTTCTCCCCACCAAACAAACAACCACATTTCGCAGAATCAGACGACAAGATCTCGAGAAGAAGCGAATGCGAGAAATGGGTCGGGTCCTTATCCCGTGCTTGTTGGGTTTTCTCCACAATCTCGACCAGAGACCGCTTCAACACCGACGGGTCGTCTCGGACCTGCTCCTCCTCCCGTTGTCGCCGTTCATTCTCTTTCTGATTCTGAACCTTTCTGCACAAATACGAGAGGAAAAACAGGAAGGAAACAGAGGAAGAGAAAAGAAACAAGAACAAGAACATGGGTTCGTTTAGATTTGCTAAAAACAACGGATAAATATCAGATAGAAGCAGGAGATTAGATATGGGTGAAGCCAGAGACAAAAGCACAGCTGCCATGAAAACGCGTCATAGATGAGGGGGAAAAATGGATTTGTACTTCAAGAGGAAGCAGTGAGAGTCCTTAGTACACGATGCTTTGAAGGTTCTCCCCTTTTTTTTTTTTCTTTTCTTTTTTTAAAAGTTCATTTTTTGTACCTAAAGATTCTCCTTCCCTTGAGATAAAATTAGAGAAAAAAAAAGTTTGAATTATATTAAATTTTATAATATTAATTTTTAAATAAAAATCTAAATTTTTGATATTGGGTATTTTTTATTTAATAATTTTTGTTTTACATATTGTATAATTCAAACTATTAACAGGTATATGTAAAAAAAAAATGAAAATTAAATTGAGATAACAAAGTTGTTTGATAAAATTTAAAAATCATCTTTTTAAAACTATTTTTTTATAAATTTAAAATATTGTAGGACACAAATTCAAAATTTGAATTTTTATTTTATTAAAATAGAGATTGTATTAAAATAAGGGAAGTGGAGATTATTTATAAATCCTTATTTCATGCTATTTAGCCAAATTAGAAGTAAATTAAAAATATATCCTACAATAATAGATACAAACTTAAATTATACTCATGATGAATATAACAATTAAAGAGTTATTTGTAAGAATCATCCGTGAAAAAAAGCCACTATGAGTATTCTAAACTACTAAACATTCTCAACTATTATACTAGTTTCAAGGAAAGTAAATATATCAAATTGTGATAACTTTTTATTAATAATTATAAAATATACTTGCAGAAAAATTAAGGGAGATTGTAAAATTATCGACTATTGTTTTTAATGGAAGATAATATTTTGGGGAGGTGTTTGTATATTTCATATTTGGAGGATAGATTTTTTTCTTTATCAATTCGATTGCAGAATCTGATGATTTTTGCTAATTTTTTTTTTAAAAAAAAAACTTATAATTTTTTTTTTCAGTATTTACAATCAAAGTGTTTTAGGACAATTTTTACAAATATTAAGATTAATTTCTCCATAAAAAAATCTTAAATGTTTTAAAAAAAGCTTATAATAATATTGTTAAAAAGCATATAGGATATGTGCCCTAGCTCCTACTAAAAATTCAATGGAATTTCAGCTCCGACATTCAATTCAATATTTTAATGGAGCAGAACTAAACATGTTGAAGTTTGATTTGGCTAAAATGATCAAAGTTGGTGATGAAAGTGTTTCGATTGTTGCATGGAGAATTTGAAACTGTCATATTTTACTAAAACGAAGAGCTAATGTAAATAAAATACAGAAGAAGTCTTACTTTTTGAGTCTTTTAACCAGTTAACATAATGATGTGGGAAGGGAATATAAAGTATCACAAAATAAACATGGAATATCATCAAATGAGATTAAGCAGAAAAAAACAGTGGTACGATGAACTATTTAAATAATTTAGTGGTAATTTTTTTTATTAAAAATAAAAAAATTTTAAATTTAAATTACATGACATATTTTACTCAAAAGTTATAGTTCTAATATTGAGAGGTGAGAACATATTTTACCCTTCTTTGTTTTACCTCCTCCATCCTTTTTCTTTCATCCTCCCCCACTTTTTTAGAGCTGCGTTAGTTTAATAGTTGAGGATCAATAATCAAAAGGAATAATAGCATTTTGGATTATAAAACTAGTAATGATTAATATTGAGAATCACCTATCAACTATATTTAAATAATTTATCTAAACAAAATTCACACATGTTGTTTTAACTTTTTCATCTATGGAGCATGGAGAATCTCTTAACTAATAACAAATTAATCAATTAAATTTTGATTACAAATCGATTTTAAAATATCAAAATTGCACTCAAGTGGACAATTTAATTAAGACCAAAATAAGCTCAAATAAAAATAAAAATTTTGATCTTCTAACCAAAAACAAAAAAACATGAATGATTTACGGGAAATATCATTAGACCAGGTGTTGAAAGATGTGAAAAGAGAGATAGAAGTGAGAAGTAGAAAGAGAAGAGGAAATATTAAGGGTCTTTACATTATTCAAATTTACTTTTATTAAATCTTTTATATTTGCAAGTTACATTAGTTTCGACTAATTAAAAATTTTCATTTTAAAAAATTAAATCTTTTTATTTAAATTAATAAATTATTAATTTTTACATCCTTCAAATTACCCTTTAATTCTCTAGTTTTTTCTTTTATAATTTAGAAGCGTTGTAAATGTAGAATGGAGCAGCCAGCACCTAAAACCTAACTAAAGGACTGCCTTTTTCAAGGTTTGGTAAAAAAGGTTGTACATCAAATTAGTTTGAACAAAGATTGTGCGTATTAATAAGACTGTAATCTTGACCTTAGATTTTTCCATTAATCAAGATAAAAAGGAAATTAGGTATGCCTGCTAAAGCTAGACCCTACTTTTCTACTCTATTCATAGGTCACCTGATCCTAAGTACTTACTGTTCTAAATGGACTCATATCACCTACCGTACGTTAACATATGTCTTTGACAAACTTACTTAATATTCATTAATATACAGTTTTTGACATTTTAAGAAAGTATGTTGGTAAGGCTATTGTCAATTTGTCAAGCAGCAAAAATTCAGGTTTTTCTAACATTGCTTTGAGAGTATATGTTAGTTGTGCACTTATTATACTTTTGTATATTTATTAATATGAAAAAAAAATAAAAGTTGATATTAATTTAACAACTATTTAATTAAATTTATCTAAATAATAATAGTGTTAAAATTATTATTAAATTTCAACTTTTTTTTATAAATTAATACTAGAAAAATAATAAATACTCTTAAGTTCTCGAGTTAGAAGAAAAACCCATAATAGAGAGGAACATGTATCTACGCATGTTGTGCTACTTTATCTAGGTAATTAAGAGCCTATTTGGTGTGACTTGTGAGAATTTTAGCTTTTTTAGTATTGTTATAAGTGATAAATTTAAATTTTTATTAGAAGAAAAATAAAGTTTTAGCTTTTAGAAAAGTGAAAAAATGAGTGAAAAGTAAATAAAAAGGGAGTTTATGAAAAATTTGAATTTGAAACTTTTGAACTTTTATTGTTTAAGAGCATTTTAAGATTAAAAAAATATTTTAAAGCATAAGTTTTTAGGAGAAAAATTTAAATTCATGAAACATAAATAGTGTCCAAAAATTGAAAGTCCCACAATCTGCACCAACCAGCCCTAATTTTGTCTTGGTGTTCATGTTACGTCTAAAACCCACCCATTTGTTATCATCTAGTATTTTATATGATATCAAAGCCAAGTTCACGTTTGTTGCATTTAAAATTGTTGTAAAGTGCTCTAAGCCTTTTTCACAAATCTTATTATTATAAAATTATGTTATTGTTTAATAATTATTTAAAAAATAATTTTATATATTAATATGATTATTAAATTATATACAATACATTTATTAAAATTAACGTTTTTAATGAAGTGATGTGCGAAAAATACTATAAAATCACAACCTCAATCAATATTAAATAAAAATATCTTGAAGACCTCAAAACACTTTGCAATTAAACAAACAAATCAAGAGAGAGAGAAAAGAGAGACATATCTAGTGCTTTTCATATAAAAAAGCATACATTGACAAGTTCAGTTCAGCGGTATAACTAAAACCATTATCTACCACTTTAGCTTTAAGTCATCTCAGAAAAGTTGATGTTCATAGATAATTGAAAAGATCTTCTTGGTTCTCCAAATCCCAAATGACCACTTTCCCATCCAATCCTGTGATTTTAAGGGGTGCAGATAAATGAGACAAGGCTTTTTGAAAAGAATGAGATTTTTGCAT